AAAAAGCCGGTCTTCGAGGTAAGCTTGTCTGCAATACGGGAGTCTCTATATCCCATAGTGAGGTACCGAAACGAATGTTGAAAGAGAACTTTAGGTTAAGAAGTTAACCCCGGTTCTCTGAAACATGAGTGAGGTATCTCTCCGGACCACCCTCCTTGCTTGGAGCGAGGAAGAGGTGTGCTTACTAAGACTGGGGAGATGACGTGAACGTCAGGCTCTTATAGCAGGAGGAGGTCCCTGCCTGAGGGAGCCGACGTCACGTCCGTCTGCCAGTCAGGACTGGCGTAGTGTAATAGTGCTTCTGGGAACAAGCGCAGGAGGCGTGTCCCATAGTGAGATACCTCACTCATGTTTCAGAGAACCGGGGTTAACTTCTTAACCTAAAGTTACGTGCAGTGAGGACAGCACAAGTTGAACCTAAGTAATGTGAAAATGTCAACCTGTTATGGGGGCACTATTATAGCAAAACTATTTGTCAATGCGAATGGAGAGTTGTCTGTCTGTATCTCAATCCGTTCGTCTGTAGTGAGATTTGTCAATGTGTAAAAGAAGCTGTCAGTGCGAACCGGAATTTGTCTGTCTGTAATTAGGTGCAGTCTGAAAAAACTGAAGACTGCAACAACATACATGGTCTTTACAAGAGTATGTTAGTTCCAGTGATGTGCGGTGAGGTTCATGGCTGGTGAGGCACTGACTTCATCAGAATCTGATTTACAAATATATGCACTCTATACAGTAGCATATTTACCATTTGATTGGCAGCAGTTTATGGGTTATGTTTCATATCTGCATTCTTTACATATACAAGCTGTAGCCCACAAAACGCATGTTTCTTTTTTTTTTCCAAGTTATTGCGGTCTTACCTTTACCTTTAAATGAAGTCCATGCTCCGCTCCTTCTGGACATCCGTTACTTTTTTGTAAAAGTCTCCTGATCTTCCTTCGCTGCACTTGACTTGCTAACTGTATACCGTACCTAGTCTAGCTTGTTGTCACTTAGTCTGCAGCCACGGAGTCACAAGAAGCATGTCTGGGATCAGAGCGCCCCCTGCCATGAGACAAGAGAACTGCCTGCCTCACTAAGAACCTCTTCTCAGCCGTTTATGATCGCTCAGCACACGAAACACGTTACACACATACAGTTGGTAACAAAAAACACTGTACATCATAATATACATCAGCTGAACTATGGAAAAACAGATCATATATTAAATGTGTTTGAACCATGTTATTGGCAACATACAGACAGCAGCACGCTGTCACTGCATGGCAGCCAGCGTAGGTTGCGAGGGATTGCGCAATCCAAGTGAGGCTGAGCTCACTGCTGCCACACTTGGTTTGCGCAATCCCTCACTTCGCTGGCTGCCATGCAGTGACAGCCTACACATGGCAACCAGTGCAGTGAGGGATTGCACAATACAAGGTGAGGCACAGTTCGTTGCTGCTTCACTGGCTTTAAATAATTACTTTATAGTACAAATCACTGGATAAATATAACCATTGAAATTATTTTATCATTATATTTTTCTTTCTTCCCGTGATGTCAGCCTACCTTGACCGCATGTGTTGTTCCTTTCTGAGGGGTCAGTGACATGAGTGACATGTTCACCAGCACAACCACTTGAGATTCACACATTGTGGAAAATACACTTGTTCTATTTCCCAGTGTGAGATGGGAGGATGGTGTGTGTTGAATGACAGAGCAAGGCAGGTTTTGGTAGAGGTCGCTTGCAAATTTACTTTTTATATCAAGCAGCAAAAATGTTGTAGCATGATACATTTAAATGAATTTGCCTTACTTCACATTGCACTTCCTGTGATGTGATTATTGCAAATGCACACATCAGTGTGAAAGCTGAAACGGTATATCGTTGAGCCTGAGTATACAGATGTACATTTAAAGCTTAAGGAGGGTGCAGGGAGGGAGAATGAGATAATGAAAACAAACACAGGAGAGATGAATGTGTTTGAAAAGCATAAAGGGCAGCATGCACAGATCAGTGGCCACAGACACAGCACACCAAAGGGTTAGGATGAGACTCCAGAGTAAGACTGGGAGATGATGGTTCTTACTTGGAGGTAAGGCTTGGTCAGTGGCAGCAGGAAAATGGTTTAGGTCATGGCTGGGTCGCAGGACTGGAAGATGGCCAACAGGTTGGGAGAAGCCTGAGCCTACGGGACATCAGAGAGACAGTATGGGATACATTACCATAAGTGTTACCCTATGGGGATAGCCTATACCAGCTATCAGACTAAGAAAACACAGCTGGAAACACAGCTGGAACTCCCAGTTGGTTTGAGTATACTATTAAACACTGGACAACTGAGGCGCAGTTTATTTAGAAATCTGAAGAGGAAATATTTGAAGTATACTGGTACGGAACATAATCCGGACTTTTGCAGAATTAACCGATACCAATATTCTGTCCACTGATAGGTTTGATCAACTGTGTTACCATGAGGACCAACTGATTTTCAGAGTACTCATTTGTGAACTGCACAGTCACTGACTGCTAGCAGTCTCGTCTGAATTAGACTCTGACAGCTTTTCCATCAGCCATTAAAATACTATTTGTGACCGAGTGTGTAATTCAGATGAAGGAAAATGCGTGCTAATGCAAAGTGGAAGTATATACAACATGCTTTGAGATGGAGATGCTAAGATCAGCTGGAGTCAGCTTTAGTGAAATGTAATCCAGACAATGTCATTACATTACTGAAGAAGCATTTCCCCCACTGGGAAAAAGCATTATCACTAAGCCATAAAGAGTGTTGTAACAGGTTAAATGTGTTCAATATAAGCAGATGCACGATTGCAAAAGGCAGCAACATCAGCACTTTCACAACAGGTAGGATTGTGGAAGAAGATATCACAGTGCATGCACAAATATGATTGAAATATCTTTAAGCCAAAACAACTGCAGTGATGTTGGACTTGCAACAACTCCAACACAACTGCAGCAAAAACATCCACTCTGCCTTACATTAGAGAGCAGAAGAAGAAGAAATGCAGAACTGCAAGCCATGGAGTAAGAACACCAGCAACTACAAGGCACAGAAACATTAGCTGTACATGCAAAGCCCCAGTGAGACAGTCTTCTATCATCTAGACAGATCTGGATGAATGACTCTGTGTGATCACCGTTCAAGGGATACTCGGGGTGCAACGATACACAAAATTGAGGATTCGGTTTGATACGTTTTTGTCACGGTTCGATACTTCTTTGATACAAAAAAGAGAAATTTCCCTGCCTTTTCTTTTTTTTACTTGTTTTTGAAAAAAACAATTTATCTGATGGAAAAAATCACCCATCTTCTGTAGTGATTTCTTAGCAGCAGAGTATATAATACAAATAAATTGCACCTTACAAAATAAATCTATAGGATGCCCATCTTCTGGGGTATATTCTCAGCAGCATATTAAACAAAAACAGCCATCCATTATCTATACATTGCTTAATCCTCACGAGGGTCGCGGGGAGGCTGGAGCCGATCTCAGCTGACTTAGGGTGAAGGCAGAGGACACCCTGGACAGGTCGCCAGTCTATCGCAGGGCTATACTTAGAGACAGACAACCAAGCACACTGACATTCACACCTATGGACAATTCAGAATCACCAATTAACCTAAACATGTTTTTAGACTGTGTGGTACGAAGCCAGAGAACCTGGGGCCTCATTTATCATCAGTGCGTCAAAAAGGTTCTAAATTCTGTCGTACACATGAAATTTAGAGTGTGCGTAAGTACAAAAAAATCTGGATTTATCAAACGTGCATGCAGGGGTCGTACGTCAGTGATGATAAATCCCACTTATTCTTAACCTCCGTGCTCGTGCACGTTGCCTTCGGAAACACCTCAAAACAACCATATACGCAACAACACACCTCTTTATAAGCAGGTGCAGATTTATTTTTTTCCCCACCTGTCGTCATCATCGTGGCAAAAAGGGCGAAAAAGAGCAACTTTTCTGAAACTGAAATCAAGGTAATTGTCAACAAGGTTGAAGCAAACCAGAAAATATTGTATGGTGCGTGAAATGTTGGGATAAGCAGTGAAAGAAAAAATGCTGCATGGGACAAGATAACCACCGCAGCTATTTCTGTTGGGTCAGAAGAGATTGCCGGCAAAATTGGTGGTTTGACGTGAAGCTCAGTGCCAAAAAAACGCATCACAGTCCATGAAAGACAAATGACTGCAACTGGAGGAGGACGAATTAATACTGAACGTTCACCCAGTGGATAACCCTGATCACCTAGAGATGAGATGTTTTAATAACCAAACTAAGTCCAGCAAAAACATTTCAACTCTTTGTAACACTCACCAGTAAGCCAGCTATTTTCTACAGCTCCTGCTTGGAGACCCACAGAACTGTTCTGCTTAATGAATGAGTCATGTGTTCCTCCAAGCCACCGTGCAACAAATGCGCATCGCAAATAATCTGTACGTTGATTGAATGAAATCCTTATCAATTTACAAAATTAAGCTTGTTTAGTGATGCTGCTTTGATTGCTATGTGGGTGCAGTCTATGGCTCTACTTATGTTTGGGAATCCAGTGATGGCGTTAAGTCCCTGTTTGATTTGGGCTCATTGGTGATGACTGTAAGGGAACTGGATGTAGGCTGGGGCCAGGGGAGTTATGGCGTCCACCACTGCCAGCTTGATCCTGCTCAGTGGTGGCTGGGAAATGCCGCATATGTCTCCAACCTCACGCTGGAATGTGCCGGTGGTCAAAATCCCTTGATGCTTTCTATTTGTAGTTTAACTATTCTACCGCTAGATTATGTGCATAAGCTCTATGACTGTCATTAATGACTGTCTAAATGACTCAGGTAAAGTTTGGACCATGTCTGCTGCTTGTTGTTTTTGTCTGGTTCCACTTGTTTTCACACCGGAGTGATGTTGGCGTAATTGCGTGTTCATGTTTGCTGTATTTCCACCGACGTAGTTTAGCATCGTGTTACACCTGTGACATACTGGTGTATTTTTGTCCATGACGCTCTTTCCATCAGGGTCATACTTAACACCAAAACCAAAGTAGTCCCAGGCGTGAGATCTGAAGGACGGTGGAGGGTCTTCGAAAACAATTAAAGCATTAGCCATGTTGCAACAAGCTAGCCTCACATGTATTCTCAGCAGCTTGGACTGAATGAGTGGGGGAGATGCGCGCACTCAGTGGATCTGCGCTCAACAATGCAGCCCGGAGTAGTCGAGCGCAGATCCACTGAGGTTAGCACAGAGCACTTCATGAGAAGTTGATTAAAAAAAAGAAGGAAATTGCGTATTGTTCGATTAATAGGGCGTACCGAAGTGAGACCACTGTATCAAATGGTTCAATACATATACATGTATTGTTGCACCCCTAAGGGATACAAAACCTTCAAGAGAGAACTGGCTCAAGTTGTCCATATCAAACACTAAGGTCAGTCAGCCATCACCCACAAACACACTGTACCATCCACCTTTAATGAACCTGACAATTCTGCAATACTACACACACCACTCAGTTTCATGTATATAGAAACAAAAATGTCGCAATCAAACAGTTTAGGTAAAATAAATTGTCTACAGTGAAAACCACTGTAACTAATCTAGAGAGATTAGAATGACATTTCTGTGACAACTAATGTCACGACTGACATTACTATAACCAGGTAAAAGTACAATATATAGTGATCCTAAATGTTTTAGTAGAAGGCAACTAGACTTCTCTTTTTGGAATTTGTTTTACCTCTCATCCAAGAGGCTTCTTCCGTTCTAAGTGAGAAAGTGACAAGATCCAGGTATTTATTCTCAACCCCAAATCACCCAGCAGATGGCATGTTATTGACTCAAGACTGACATTCCTCAAGGTGTGAATGGTTGTGAAACTGCCTGGGGAGGGATGAATTAAAGTGTTAATGCTGAGGAAACTGTCTGGGAATGGACCCCAAGGCTACATTAAAAGTTCCTGAAAAGTGGTTTCATAGACCTCTTCCTCTGTTTAGCAATGTCTGCTGTCATTAAGCCTCTTCAAAAACAGAGTAGTCTTGATGCCACAGTACTGAGCAACTACTGGCCCATATCAAACCTGCCATTTTTAGGTAAAGTCCTAGAAAAAGTTGTAAACTAACAAACAAGTGATATTTGCCTAAACTCAGTAGCAGGTAGGGTCTTCGTCTTGCTGGACCTGAGCGCTGCCTTTGACACAGTGGACCATGTGACCTTACTATACAGGTTGGAAAATTGGGTGGGAATCTCTGGTACTGCTCTAGCGCGGTTTCAACCTATCTCGAAGACAGGATGTACTTTGTTGAAATTGGGAACTGTGTCTTAGACCGAATGGCTGTGACCTGTGGGGTTCCTCAGGGGTCGATCCTGGGACCCCTCTTGTTCAATTTGTATATGTTTTCATGAGGTCAGCTGAGCAATAATGTGTCCCACCAAAATTATGCAGATGACACTCACAGTGAATCTACAGGCCCATGTTTACCTGCCGTCAGTGACACATAGATCTGTTGCTGCATTGAACGGATCAGTGTGTGGATGCAAAACAACTTTCTCCAGCTAAACTCAGACAAGACTGAAATCATTGTCTTTGGCCCACAGAAAAAAGAGAAAGTGTCAACAGTCACCTTGAGACTCTTGAAATCTAGGGCGTAATATTGGACTTAGACCCAAAACTTTAACAGCCACAATAAGTCAATTACATCAGTCTTAGAGAGACGAATGCATGCATTTGTCTCTAGCAGGTTAGACTACTGTAACGGCCTGCTCACTGGTCTCTTTAAACGAGCTGTAAGACGGCTGCAGTATATCCAGAATACTGCTGCTCGAGTCCTGACTAGAACCAGGAAGTACAACCATATTAGTTCAGTGCTCAAGTCTCTGCACTGGCTTCTTGTTGCTCAGAGAACTATATTTAAAACAGCTTTGCCTGTGTGCAAGTCTCTTGATGGTCGAGCACCAAAGTACATCTCTGACATGTTAGTGCCATATAAACCATGTTGGGCTCTGAGAACCTCAGGGAGTGGTCTCCTGCTGGCGCCCAGTGTCAGGACTAAAACACAGTGAGGCTGCGTTCCAATTTTATGCAGCTAAAATCTGGAACTGTCTTTCAGAAGATGTGAGACAGGCCTTAACTCTGACAATGTTCAAATCCAGGCTCAAAACAGTTCTATTTAGTTGTGCATATGACAGCTGAAAGTATTTTATCTGTACTCTTTGTTGTGTTGCTGTGAAGCATTTTGAATTGCCTCGAGTAACAGTTGTGCTATACCAATAAACCTGCCTCTGCCTTGCTTTGCCTTGTTCCAGTTCAGTGTAGCTGGCTTCACTCCTCTCTCAAACAACCTGTCTTCTCTGTCCAGAATATGGATACTACTGTCCCTCATCCTTCAGATGCTGAGCACTTACAGTCACCATGACCTGGGTGACTGAGAATCTACAAAGACACAGCATACAGCAGTTCTGATTTAAATATGAGAAAAAGTAAATTAATTGAAGACACTGTTTTTCTCTCTGAACTTGCAGCAGTTTTCGTGAGTTGACCTGCCTTCAGAAGGTGATAAGTCAAGTTTCAGGTATTGGAGGCTATGTGCTTGTTGGGCTGTCGTTCATGATTGATCAGACAGATGATCACAAATACATCCATCCATCCATCTGTAGGATATGAACAGATACAGCTGCCCAAAAGACACAGAATTATCCTGCAGGTCACAGGGTCATGTAAATCAGCTTCGCAGACTCGGGGGAGCCGAAGCCAGGACAAGCAGAGCTCACTTGGAAATTCCCTTATCACACCTATCAGAGCTTCAGAGGATCTAACACAAAGAAGCTTCTGGGGGAAGACAAAGAAAAACATTCAACCACGCGGACCTTAACAGATGGCCGGGTGCAATGTAGTGCCCCGGGCTTAACGTATTGCTCTGCTGACCCCTCATTTCCTGTGGCATGCAACAACTGAACTTAACAACTGAACTTACGAATGAACAATGGGAAAAAGCACCAGAGGATCTTAATGGGACGCTAGGTCACTTAGTTTAAGTGTTGTTAAATGTTATGGTATATCATATTCTGATAAATACCCCAAAGCTTAATTACAGTTGGATAAGTCTTTCTTTAATTTATCAGCTTGTTATATAATCATATATCCCAAAACTGCATTATCTTTGTAACCGTATGAGATAGATTTATCATGTTTGGATTCTTTGCGAACCGCTAGATATGATATATTTATTTTCAGTAGGTTTAACTTTGTATAATTGAAAGTACATATAGTTCTGAAGGAACATTGTTACTTTCAGAGCAAAACTCTGACCACCTCATGACCACCACAGCCCCTCTGGGAGGGGAGCTCGTTGTGATTGGTCAGTAGTTTTACTATTAAAAGGCATTTCACCCAAAAGACTGCAGATTTTCTGAAGGCCATAGTATCTCCCACTTGGGTCCAATGTTAGCAACTTCAACTGCCACACCCTGATCCAACTCAAGCTGAAGGCCTCGTCTCCCAAGTCCAGACGCTGCTGCACCTGCCAAGGAAACTGCAAGTACCAAGCGTCTGTCTCTAAACGGGTGTTTCATGATTACAATTGGCCTTTCGACCAATATTCCAAATTTAACAGATTATCTGCTGCTTTAGGTGAAAAGACTTTTAAGTCTCCAAGCCACCATTCTGCTCCACATTAGGTTTTTCACACTCATATTCTCAACCAGCATTTCCATCATTGTTTTTATTTTATATTTTATGTTTGTTGTTGTTATTTGTTTGTTTAGTTAGGAATAAATGTTTTTGTGCGTACACAGTTGTTTCCGGTGTTTTCTATAGCTTACTTTCAGTCACTTTACGTATCCGTTCTTTAGTTACCTCAAGCTCTAAGTTAATTCCTTAACTTTATAAAACACTCTTGACTGATCACTAAGAGTAAACAATTTATTAGAATTGTTATGCTGACTCTGAGATTATATCGCTGGACGAATAATTCAAAGGTTGATTTTAATCGTTTTAATTAATGCAATCACTTGCTTTGGTGTGGAAATAAGTATATCTTATTTTCTACCCTACACATCCATTATCTATACACTGCTTAATCCTCACTAGGGTCACAGGGGGGCTGGAGCCTATCCCAGCTGACTTAGGGCGAAGACAGGGGACACCCTGGACAGGTCGCCTATCTGTCGTAGAGCTACACTTAGAGACAGACAACCAAGCACACTCACATTCACACCTACGGACAATCCAGAATCACCAATTAGCCTTAACATCTTTTATTTGGACTGTGGGAGGAAGCCAGAGAACCCGGAGAGAACCCACGTTGCTCAGGGAGAACATGCAAACTCCACGCAGAAAGATCCCAGGTGTCCTCACCAGAACGCGAACCGGCAACCGTCTTGCTGCGGGGCAACGGTGCTAACCACTGAGCCACCTTTCAGCCTATCACAAATACAGCTTAGCAGAAACCACAATTTTAACACAATGGATTGTGAATATCGGACGTGTAGAAAATTACGAATTCTTAAGTGCTGTCACAGTTTTAAAAGCATGCTACAGTGTTTTAAAGCAGCTTTGACAGGACACGGTATGCGCTGTGCTTGCTGTGGGTTTCAGCGATCAGCTGCTGGGAAGTCATGGGTTAGTGAGAAAAATGGAGTTTTCAAAACTTCCAATGGGGCGATGCCACCTTCCTCTCAAGCTGGAAGCTTTCAGTTTGTTGCAAAGACTTTTAACAGCAAAGATGTATTTGTCCCGTGTTAGCGAGCAATAGCACTAGCCTTGCGAGTACGGAGCACTAGTACGGAGCACTCGTTGGCACTTTTATGTAGATAGCGCCAGTTCACAACATATGTCATTTTATAGCACTTCACTGTCCTTGCTATTACAAAGACTTTTCTCCCTGAGTCCTCAATACAACCACTCAGTTGTGACATATAATTCAGGGAATTCAGACAAACACACCACCGGCTTTTTCTCCACCTTGCTCACGCAGCGGCATGTCGTTGTTGTGTGGTGCAAACAATGGGGAAAAAAAATGGATGTCAGAGCACAGCACGTCCTGGAATCACAGGGCAGTGTCCTAGCAGTGCATCATCCTACACCCAGAGCTGCGCTTTGAAATTTATTTCAAAAGCGGAGGAAACCACATGCTCGTTGCAGTCAAAGTTCAACACATTTGAACTTTGACCCCTTGCTATAATGTATGACTGCAAGGCCAATAGAAACGAAGCATCTTGCGTGGCATGCAGGACAAAGTGGAGGAGAAGCTAGTGCTGCTTGTATCTGAATCAGTCTATGGTCTTAATTCCCTGAATTATATGACACAACTTTGCAGTTATATTGCAAATCAGGGAGGAAAGCTTTCGTACCGGCAAGGCTAGTGCGAGTATTTGCTCCATAGTATGGGACAAATACATCTTCACCGTTGAAGTGAAACTGAAACTTCTAGCTTGAGAGAATGGTGGCGTCATCATGCTGGAAGTTTTGAAAACTCTGGCTACTTGTAAAAATACAGTGGAAAGGTGAAGCTGAACTAATCACTTTTGCCCTACAAGTTCTCATAGGTTCAGGATATGGATCTTTCTTGTTTGTTCAAAAATATCCAATGTAAGCAATGATAGAAGATGAAGGGTAAGGGCCTTGAGAGGTTTATCAGTCGGTAGTTACGATTCAGCCACATCGTAGTCAAGCCAAAGGAATTTGTAAATGAGCAGTTTATCAAAGAAAAAAAAGGTCAGTTTCTATATATGTATACTCATTGTTGAGAATGAAATAACACACTCATAAAATGATACACCCCGGGGAAGAAATATTTATATTAAAACAAACAAGAAAAAACAAAAACAAAACCGTATTACAGTATATGATTGCTCCATTTTTACCTTTACTGCCTTATCTTTTTTGACATGAAAAGCACAACTGAGAGTATGACTGAGTTCACGGCCATGACTGGGAAACTGAATTAATGAGAAACTCAGAAAAATAACTCGTCATCATTTACATTTTACAAAGTCAGGCCGCTGACACCATAACAACTTAGATTGAGTTAATCATTTAGCCTTAAATCCCTCCTTTTTTCCAGCAGAGGTGCTACCCAGCACATGCGCACGACCAACACAAATTGTAGCAGCTTTATCAAAAATAAAACTTCACAGAGACACTATGTCTGCAGATGTCATAAACTCCACACTTTGCACAACATAACTCATTCGCTCTCTTGTTTAATCTGCTGCATGTTGGTGTTCAACCAAGGTTACGTCATGCTAGAGGACAAGGAAGATCCAAGTCTTCCTAACACCCACAGCCAAACCTATTTGCATTTAAGATTTAAAAGGGACTCAGCACTCAGCACAGAACTCACACTTGATTGAAGTTTAAATTTGTGAGAAAGCACCATATCTGTGCATCAGCTCCATGGTTTAGATTTTTACCAAAAGGACAAAATAGCATTAAAATTCTAAATAAAAATAAATTGTCTTAGGTGTTTTGTGTATGAGTATGTTTTGATAGAATCAGGAGAAAAAAAAAGAAAAAAGCACTGAAAGAACAATCCTGGCAGGGAGTCTGGCAGTGAGCTGACTGCCTTTCAGAGAGGGGGAATTTGATTTTGTTTCTGCAAGACTGTGTGTGTGTGTGTGTGTGTGGGTGCGTGCGTGCGTGCGTGCGTGCGTGTGACCTACTTTTCTCACAGTCCGTAAGAGCCGTCGCGTAAAATGTACAAATCCAGTACCAGTGTAAAACATAAACATGTATCCAGGACATCAGGACCAGTCACACTATAGGCCATACACAGCAGCTAAAACCAAATGTAGTTATAGTTTTTGGTTATTTCTTTCTACTGACATGGACACATTTTAATCAACCTTCTAACATCATGCTGTTTCTGTGTGTTTTTGCTCCTGTCACATTTTTCCTGTGGGCTCATTTATCACTGTGGTATAGAGTTGAAAAAATGTTGAAACTCACCAATGCTGTTCCTGTCACTGGGCCCGGCCACAGCAGGCTCCCCCTGCTCTCCTCTTCTGGCCTCCTTCCATCTGCCCGTCCTCCTCTCTCCTCCTGCCCCGCCCGCCTCCTGGCCCTCAGGGCTGTGGCCGGCATCAGGTACCGACTCAAAGGCGCTCTCCTCATCTTCATCTTCATCCTGGGAGGAAAACACGGTGCTCCCGGAAAGTCGGTTGCTGTCCACTGAGGAGAGGCGGGTGTGGCTACAGAAGCGGCTCCTCCCCTCGTAGCCCGAGTTGCTGTAGCAGGACGTGCTGTAACAGGAAGTGCTATAGCAGGAGGTGCTATAGCAGGAGGTGTCGCAAAACTCACACTCATTTTCGCCTGGCGGACGGTGAGTGCTGCCACCAACTCTCCTGCCTCCTCCGTTACTGGAATCCCCCTCCTCACTCCCCAGGCAGGAAGGAGAAATCCTCCTGATAGCTGCATGACCTCCTCCACCTCCCTCACCCTCCAGGAGTTGGTTCAGCTCTGACAGGCGTTCAATGGAGAGGCTGCGAGGCAGAGAGCGCCGGCAGCAGGGGCCTGGACACTCTGGAACCTGCCGGAACACACAGACAGAGCTCATTTTATTATTGCATTACAGTGGAAATGGAAGCTGGTCTGGAATGCTCACCTTCAAGATGATATACTGTTACATTTAACCAAGTGTGATTTGGTTACATTTTTTAACAGTTATCAAGGACAAAACAGGACAAAACACAGACATTACATTAAAAGTTCTTCGTGTTTTATGATTAAAATACATTATATAATCTGTTGTTAAACTGTGAAATTGTTTAGTTTTATGGTGGAGAGTTACACGAGAAGCTTGATGCTGCTGTCACATCTGTATGCTAAATGTGCAGTCACCAGCAGATCTTAACCTAGCTACACACTCAAAACAGGGGAACACAGCTACTCTGGCTTTATGTAACTGACACAGAATGGTAAATCAGGAGTACGGTTCACAAAGCAGGTTTAGTGAAAACTCTGAGTCTGTTAACCCTGAAATGAGAGAAACTCTGAGTTTTCGGTGTCACAAAGGGAGGTAACTCAAACCAGAGAAAGAGGGGTAATTCTAGCATGTTTCACAGACCTTGGTAAGTTACATTAGTAATAGACTCTATGAACCAAGCCTGGTCGGGACCAGGTTTTTCTCAATGAACCTTGAGTTTCTCTCTGTCTTCGCCCTCTTTCAGCCACACAGGCTATTTGATTTTCTCATTCATTCAGTCAGTGGACTATATTAGAAGTCCATTTGGTACAGTAAGTGGCAACTTTTTTCATAAACATGGTATGTCTTTTTGATAACGATCCCGTGGATGAAGGTGCAGCATTACTACGCAGAGAATTAAATATTGGTCGGGAGATGGTTATCAGACCGCGCATAGATGTTTTAGCATTTCCAGACAGTCGTTGAGCGACATCGTTTCACATCACAGTCATCATCTACATGTATAACCTAATCCTGTGAGGGTTATGGAATATGTTTTGTGTTTTGTGGGTTTTTCTCTGCCTCCTGTGTTTGTGTCTTGGTGGGCGTGTGTTTTCTCGGCAGGCTGGGCGGAGCCGAAGGAGAGAGGACTTCCTCGCGCTGGCAGGTGCAACTCATCAGCTCATCAGCGGAGCACCTGAAATACAAGCTTCTCACAGATCTCCAGCGCCAGATGATTGTGAATCATCCTTGTGGTGCTGCCAGGCCGCTTAGTTGCTGTCCTTCGCAAAGCATTACAACTAAGTTTAAGTATTTTCGAGTCTCTAGTAAATCGTGTGTATTTGTTTGCCTCCAGCGTTCCCTCTTCGACTCTAGCCTCCAGCGTTTCACGAGCCACACCAGCCGTAACCCTCTCCAGCTTCACCACGGAACCCACCGCAACGAGCACCCTCACAAGAAGTTCTCCTTTCACGAGCACCTGCACTGGGAAAACTTCCACCGGGAAGAAGCACCTCGGGCACCGTCCCCTGAGCACCGTCCCTGCGCGCACCGTCCTCGGATTCCTCCACGCCTCCCTCTCCAGCACTACCTCGGCGGCACTTCCCCCTCCTCGGATCCCAGCACGGACAAACCTCCACCTGCACCCCCCTCGACTGGCACTCCTGCATCTGGTTCCTGCTCCTGGTGACCTCCACTCCTTCACCCTTATTAATAAAACCTTTTTATTATAACCTGTTTCTCCTGCCTCCCCTTTTCGTTCGGGTCCGCCCGCACAGCCACCGTACTCGAGCCGTCACAAATCCATCCTTACATGTGCAACATTACCAACCATTGTCACGCTCTCACATCACAGCAGATATTGTGTGTTGCGCTGCGTTTCTTTGCAAATGGAAGTTTTTGAACAATATCAGAGATGCAGAGCACTTGAGTAAGGCAACTGTATGCAGGGCGGTCAGAAAAGTTTGCCTCGCACTGAAACGGTCTTTACCCATTTTTGACGTCTGCCCTGTACGTAAACCGGTCAGAGTCATCAAGGTGGAGTTACACAGGACTGCAGGTGAATGATGTAGTGATCTGTTAAATTGATCTTAAATTATATTCTGTTAATGACATTGTGCTGCAACCTCAGACTTGAACAACGTTTTTATATTTCATCTTAAGCTGCTGCCAAGTGCGCTTCTCCCCCATGGGAATGCACCTAAATGAAATAGGCTACCATTCAAGCAGTTTTCCCCTGTAATATTATTGTGGGGCTGCAAGGTGGCTCGGTGGTTAGCACCGTTGCCTTGCAGAAAGAAGGTCGCCGGTTCGTGTATTGGTGAGGACATGGGGATCTTTCTACGTGGAGTTTTCATGTTCTCTCCGGGTTCTCCAGCTTCCTTCCATTCAGTCCATAAATATGTTGAAGCTAATTGGTGATTCTAAATTGTGAAAGTGAGTGTGCTTGGTTGTCTGTCTCTAAGTGTAGCCCTGCAATAGATTGGTGACCTATCAAGGGTATCCCCTGACTTCACCCTAAGTCAGCTGGGATAGGCTCCAGCCCCACTGCGACCCTAGTGAGGATTAAGATGGATGCTGGATGATGGATGTTGGATGATTAAGATGTATAGATGGATGGATATTATTGCAAAGGACGACATTTAAACTTATGCATTGACCTGAGCAGCAATGTTCACCACGCCGTCTCCCTCTGCTTTGCAGCTGCAGCAGTGTTGCACTTCTTTTTAAAAACGTGTTCAAACTCGTCGTATGAGCACATTAACATTTCTAATTCCAGTGTGGTGAAAAACGCAGCCCTCCGCTTCCCCGTTGCCATGGTGACTCGTCAAATTGGTTGATGCTGGCTTTTTCTAGCTGCGGTGCACGCGCTTAACTCCAGGTAAAACCACTCCGAGTTGATTAAACTAACTCAAATACGCTGTTGGGGAACTGGAAACTCAGAGTTTCCTATCTCAGAGTAGAGTAACTCACAGTTTGTTGAACCTGCTTTGTGAAATGGACCCCTGCATAGAAAGTATACCTGTAGACAAAGCAAAATACTAAAAACAGGCCCCCTTTATAAACACGGTGACTTTTCAAATATAATAAAATAAACAAAAATAAAATATGCAAAAGTCAAAGGATAAACAGGATAAACAAATTTGAAACAAATATGTATAAAAATATTAACATTTTTAGCTTCTCAGATTGTGTAGAAGGGTGTTTATCAACTGTACTTGTATAGCCCTCAACAAGAAAACAAGTTTCTACATACAGCATCTCTCAAAAGTATTCCATCAACCTATTTCAATGGCTCTAGCATTCAGTAAATTAATTTGGTGTTTGACCAAAGTCTGAATTCTGCCTTGCACATCTTTAACATTACTCTAATATCTGATACTCACTGATTCTTTTCTTCCCTGAAACCTGGGTATCTAAAACAGAGATGTGCTAGACAGTAAGCCTTATTTATTCACTTACCGTTTCTGTTTAGTTATTTTTATCATTCATAAGCAATGGCAGTGTCATCAAGGTGTAGCAACATATGATCTTGTTGCCTTCTGGACAGTTTGCAATGACACAAAATACATAAACAAAAACTAAAATAATTAAGGATGATTATGATTATGGTTACATTGAGAACCAGTGGACACGAGTGCGGACAAACAGAAAGGTGGCACCAGTTGATTCTCCAAAGTGTCCTTGACCAAGGAGCTGGGTAAAAGCTGAAGTGCTGCATGGTGGCCGCCCACTGCTCTTTATACTTTGGATGGATTGAATGCTGACAACAAATTTCCCAATGAGGCTCAATAAATCACAATTTATCTGCCTAAATCAGACAGCTCACAGAGAATACTGTTCAAATAGGAGAGTATAAAAACATGCTTTCTAGGTACGTATTGGCACACAAAACCCATCTCAGCTTTGGGGTTAATGTTCAGTACCATCTTGGTACAACAGGGAGTTAAAAAAACAAAACAAATTAAAGCTGCAAGCAGCGTTGGATGGGCCCTTGCACTTCCGCACGTGTGACAGCTATCTCCCCCCTCCTCTCTCACACACACATTCTCAGGACTCTTCCAGACACAGAAACTCCTACTCATCTCTGACACACACACACACACACACACACACACACACACACACACACACACACATACACACACACAGCACACTAACTACACAAGTGACCCACTACCTCACTCAGCCTTTACAAAGTTGGGACTTCTGACTGCAGTTTCGTTGTGTGTACAGAAGCATATGCATGATGACAATCAAAGGATTGTGATTGTGACTGAGGCAGAGTGCAGCATGCAGAGGACAAGGAGACAGCACTTGCTCTTTCATGGCAAAGCATCAAAGTTCAGAGGGCCGCCACGGACACGACGTAAATTCACAATTTTTGGTACAAGTCACCATCAACATCTAAAGGCTCATATCACCGCATTTGAGGACAATACGGTCAACCGGCTAATTATAGCACATGAAAGTGTAAAACACCTTCTTTTCTATTGCCAGCAGGTGGCGCTATGACTGTGAATGGATGTTGGCATATGGGTTTCATTAGGGCAGGACTGTGATCAAGTATGTAAAGTTTAAGGCAGATTGGAGCGTGTACAGGGTCGTTAGACACGCTTCATTTTTAATAGCGAATCATCACAATTCAGATGGCCACGCCCTCAGACTTTTGCGGAGCGTTTTAAGAACTTTTAATCACCAAGCCCTGTTGTATGTGCTGGCCAAATTTGAGGAGTGTAGGAGTTAACCCCTAGGAGAAGTTCACTCTCGAAAATGACAAAAATCACCAAAAATTACACAGTTATTTCAAAATGGCGGACTTCCTGTTGAGTTTACGGTACGGGTCCAAGAGGCTTTTTTGTGCGTCCCGATGTGTTACATATGCCTACGAATTTTTGTAAACGTCGGTTAAATGTCCTGCGGGGGCTATTGGATAAATTGCTGCAGGGGGCGCTATAGAGCCTTTTTGCCAAACAGACACACGTTGTCTGACCCCTGACCAGTTGTCTGTCCCACAGTGGTCAGACATTTTATATTTTTGGAAACCAGCTTTGCGACAACTAAAAAAAAAAAAAAAAGGTTTCCACTCTGTACATTTTCTCTTTCTTACATGTTTCTGTTAAATCAGACCTGTTCCTGTGTTAGCTTCTGGTGTAAAAACATGATTTAACTCAGTTACAGTTTAAGATTTGAGTTTAAGATTTAAAATTTAACAGTTACAAGCAATAAGAAAATTGAAACTTACATTTTAGTTACCAGCCATCACTGGTCCTACCTGAGAGGGAGACAGGGTTGTATCCTCCTCTTCCTCATCCTCCTGCCCTTCCTCGTCTTTAGAGGTTTTAAGAGTTGGTGATGTGGCGTTGGTGTCTAGAGTAGTGCTTGTGTTATCTCCCTCCCTGGTCTGCTCCTCGTCCTGGCTGGGAGCTCTATTTTGGGCTGATGGGAGGCTGTGAAGAAGGTGGTGAATTCGGATATAGTGAGATCGTGGCGTCTCCGGCTCGCCGCAGGCAGATGCAATCACCGTCTCCAGCTCAGACACTGGGAGAGAGCAGGGGCGGTTTTTACGGCGTGAGGGAGCATTTGAGTTGTAAATTGAGAAGAGAGACTGGCAGGAGTAGGGGTCACAACTTCTTTCTCCTCCCTCTGTCGCCTCCGGCGTGGCCCCTTCAGCTGGGTCTACATGGGCCTCCTGGGATACAGTGTTTTCCTCTGCGGGAGCCTCCACAGCAGTGGCTCCGTCGTGTATAACCACTACTCCAGGACTGTCAGAGTCTGGCTCAGACTGCATTTCATTTCCACCCTCTTTTCCCTCCACTGTCAGCGCCTCCTCAGCTTGTGCTGCAGACTCCGCTGTTCCCTCCTGTTGCCTCTCCTCCCTTGCCCCCTCTTCTCCCCCGACTCCATTGCTCTCTTCCTGCTGTTCAACTGAGACACCCTCCTCCTGATCCATCTGGGGTTCAGCAGTTGGGGGTTCCTCCCTTACTGTGCTCTCCTCCTCCACAGCTCCTTGCTCTGTCTCTGCCACCTCCTCTACCTCAGTCTTCTCAGCGACTTGGACTTCCACAGGTGGGGAGGCTGCTGGCACTGAGGTCTCAGGTTTAGAAGGTGCATCCAAGGGGAGATCGGGCATGTCAGGGCCTACGCTCAGTGTGTCATCATCAGGAGCATCAGCAGGGTGGTTGGCATCAGCCTGACCCGCTGGGCAGGCTGGCTCTATTACTAAGGAGACCTCCTCGTCATCTATAGAGAACACACAAAAAAACAAATATATACGTGTTTTAACCAGTGTTCAACAAACTCTCTTTTGTAGTTACTGTCTTCAAACTGGGTTCTATTATCCACAGTGCGGCATTCCTAACATTGGAAGTGGAAGTTCATGAGCTGCGTTTTAAAAGAGCGCTTTCAGAATTTTAGCAGTGCACTCTGGTGCACTTCAGTGCATTGCTGGACTGGAATAGTCCACATACATAACCCACAAAGCAAGTCAACCACCAGTTCACCACCAGCAGTGTGTTTTGCTAGTCGTGGCGAATGTATCCTGGGGCCTATACCACACAGAAAGTTCAACATATCCAGGATATGTTGTCATTTTCTGGCTTCACTAAACCAAACAACCACAGTCAGACTAAGCAGTCACATGAGGCTGGTTATCTGTTGGTACCATACTCAACAATAATCATAAACAAATATAAGTTGTATAAAAATTATATGCTAAAGGCTAAAAGCAACACAACTGTTGGCAACAAACTGCAGACAGTGCAAATTACTGTATGACGGAATAGGCTGTCAGTACCACATGAGTAGATCTGACTATAATTCCATTTTAATCAACTTGGAGTAGTTTCACCTGGAGTTACGTGCGTGCACCCCAACTATAAAAAGCCAGCATCAATGGAGCCCCGATTCGACGAGTCACCATGGCAACAGGAAAGCGGAGGGCTGCGTTTTTCACCCCACTAGAATTGGAAATTTAATGCGCTCACACAGCGAGTTTGAACATGTTTTTAAAAAGAAGCGCAACACTGCTGCAGCTGCAAGACAGAGGGAGACGGCGTGGAGAACATTGCTGCTCGGGTCAATGCATAAGTTTAAATGTTGTCCTTTACAATCACAATAATATTACAGGAAAACTGCTTGAATGGTAGCCTCTTGATTTGTTTCATTTAGGTGCAATCTGGCGGGGGAGAAGCGCACTTGGCAGCAGCTTAAGATGAAATATAAAAACACTGTTCAGGTCTGAGGTTGCAGCACAATGTCATTAATAGAATATAATTCAAAATTAATTTAAAAGATCTCTACATCATTCACCTGCAGCCCTGTGGAACTCCACCTTGATGGCTCTGACAGGTTTATGTCCAGGGAAAACGTCAAAGATGGGTAAAGGCTGTTTCAGTGCAAGGCACACTTTTATGACTGCCCTGCATACAGTTGCCTTACTCATACACATTTCATTTAAAAAAAACGTTATTGCAATCTTACCTTTACTAATAAATAAAGTCCTTGGGTCACTCCTTGTGGACAAAAATGTCCATTACTTTTTTGTAAGCTGCTAAGTTGCTGTCACTTACTCTGCAGCCGCAGAGTCATAAGAAGAATGTTGAATGTTGATCAGAGCGCCCCCTGCCATAAGGCAAGAGAACTGCCTGCCTCACCTAGAACCTCTTCTCAGCTGCTTTATCATCGCTCAGCACACGAAACACGCCACACACATACAGCTGGTAAAAAAAAACACTGTACATTATTATATACATCAGCTGAAGTACAGAAAATCCGTTCATGTATTAAATGTGTTTGAACCATTTTATTGGCGACAAATAGCGGTACACTGTCACTGCATGGCAGCCAGCGCAGTTAGCGAGGGATTGCGCAATCCAGGGTGAGGCTTAGCTTGCTGCTGCCTCACTGGCTTCTCTTCTAAGCATTTGAATGGGAAATTGTGAAAATTCAGCGATTTTGAATTTCAAAAAAAATCTTCACAATTGGTGAGGCTAAATGAAAAAAATTAATACTTAGTATTAGTAGTACTTAGTACAAATTAATGGATCAATATAACCATTAAAATTATTTCATCATCAGATTTTTTTTCTTTCCCTGACCGTACGTCCCTGATATACTGTGACGTGAAACGGTACCAGTCAAAAAGATAACTGTCTGGAAATGCTAGAACATCTATGTGTGGTCTGATAACCATCTCCAGACAAATATTTAATTTTCTGCACAGTAGTGCTGCACCTTCATCCACAGGATCAATATTAAAAGGACATGCCATGTTAGTGGAAAAAGTTGCCACCTTCCGTGCCTAATGGACTTATAAATCAGAGTCAGTAGGCTAGCCTAGTTCTGTCAGATGGCAGAACTAGGCTACGCTAAACTTGCCTGCTGACTGAATGAAAGAATGAGGAAATCAAATAGCCTGTGTGGCTGAAAGAGGGCAGAGACAAAGAGAAAGGTTCATCGAGACAAACCTGGTCCCGACCAGGTTAGGTTCATAAAGTCTGTTACTACGGAAACTGACCGAGGTCTTAAGTTACCTCTCTCTGTGAAACAGGCTTGAGCCACCCCTCTGCCTGTAGTTTGAGTTACCTTCCATTTGTGAAACGGAAAACTCAGAGTTTCCCTTATTTCGCAGTTAACAGACTCAGAGTTTTCACTAAACCTGCTTCATGAAACGGACTCCTGGAGACCTTCAAACTTCATACTACTTTATTCCTGGAAACACACTTACAAAACAGATGCAGTTATCTTTAAATTGAATGAAATGAACTAAAATTGAGTTTAATGCTATATTCTATAACTCTATAATATTAATAAATAATTGTATAACTTGCAGTTGTAGTAGGAGATTGTTTAGACTTTTCAAAGACTATTGGACTTTTCAAATGAGCTGTTTGGATGTTTTTTGTTCACTTTAGACAGAGATACATCTATGTACTTTTGATTAAGCCTTCTAAAAATGTTTTAATCCCTTAAAAATACAGTGTATTGCACTGCCAGCAATATTTTTTAATGCAATGGTCAGCGAATGTTTGCATACAATATAATAATTCTGGAGAAACCATTCTGATCTATAAACACAAATTCAGAAAAAAAAACAGAAACACAGAAAAAATTCTATTTGAAGGTAGCTCCTGGAAATGCTCACCGTATATCACTGAGCATAAGTTAAGAGCCCCATCATTACTTTTAATGCTTGAAGTCCAGCATGAAATCCACCTCTCCAAACTAAGTCTTGTTGAATCCAGTCCTGCTCCTTTAATGCACAGGAGCTAATTGAAGTTAAACATATTCAAAAATCAAAGAACTTTCTCTTTTTTACATCCATCCATCCATTTTCTATACACCGCTTAATCCTCATTAGGGTCGCGGGGGGGCTGGAGCCTATCCCAGCTGACTTAGGGCGAAGGCAGGGGACACCCTGGACAGGTCGCCAGTCCATCGCAGGGCCACACTTAGAGACAGACAACCAAGCACACTCACAGTCACACCTACGGACAATTTAGAATCACCAATTAACCTCAACATGTTTTTGGACTGTGTGGGAGGAAGCCGGAGAACCCGGAGAGAACCCACGCTGCACGGGGAGAACATGCAAACATGCCCCCACCGGGACGTGAACCGGCAACCTTCTTGCTGCGAGGCAACAGTGCTACCAACTGCGCCACCTTGCAGCCCTATAGGGAAAGGGTCATGAGCGGGATTTGAACTCATGACCTCCACATTGGGACTGTAGCCCTACACATAGGACGCCAGCTCAACCAGGTGAGCTATAGCAGCAGCCCTCTTTTTTACATTGCACATGCATATCGAGCATACATTTGTTTCCCTAACCCCAAATTGAACTGATGAAATACAGCATGAGCAAGAAATTTGTAGTTGTTGATGGCTTCAATGATTAAAAGTGTAGCTGTGAACAGAGAGGGGAGGTAGCAGGGCAATAAAATGTCTGTCCATCGTTCTAAATGGCCAAATATACCTGGGTGAATAGAGGAGGTCAGCTCAAAGCGGAACTGCAGCTGGCCACAGACATGATCTGTTGGCAACCTGCGACCCAGGGAATAACTCACCACCCGATCCCTGTAGACACAAGACAGAGGCAGAAATTAAAGAAGAGTATGTGAAAAAACAGAGGCTGGGACAAACAGAAAGAATGTGTCAGAAATAACAATACAAAAATTGCCACAAAAGCTTTTTGATCAGAAATAACCTGCAGTGAAGGAAATACAAGTATACACTAAGTATAAAATAGTGAAATCGTATCTAAAATCAGGTGGTCGCATTGGGAACCCACATGGTTTATCTCATCGACTGTCTGTGTGGGCTCGTGTATGTGGGAAAACTCCCACAGCTCTACAGACTTGAATGATCGAGCACAGTACGCTCAGGCTGATAACAGTTCTGCTGTACTCAGGAAAAAACTCTGCGTGAAAGTGTATATTGTGTGTGTTTTACCCAATGGCATGTTTTTCCAGCAGCCTCTGGACTGGAACGGACAGCTTCCCCAGGAAACGCTTGATGATTGGACGACTCTTGGCAAACTTGTCCTTTACCTCGATCTCCAGGACGTCAGTGGGCAGAGACACAAAGTTAAACCTCTGAAGAAAGACACAGACACAGAGTAAAAGAGTACACAAGGAGAGTATTAAGGAGAGTTTTAAGGAGAGTGTGTGTTTTGTAGTAAGTCTAATGTGTAACATAGAGAAAATGTATATCCACAAACACAAAAGTATTATACTGGGTGTATCTGAGAAGTATTCAGTCATGTTTTATAAAATAACCTCATGTGTTTTATCAGTTTTCCCAACAATATCCACAGTGGGAAGCTTAAGAATGAGAAACCCTATTCTGATTATGTTGAAGCACATCAAAGCACTTGGATAAGCCTTGGACAGACAGAAGTCTTGGTTAAATATTGAACAGTTCTGCTACTGTGTGTGCACACAGAGCCTGAAGTTAATTTTACCCACTGTGCAATCGCACACAAAGTCAATGGAAAGTCACCACGAAGCGCAAATAGGCTTGAGGCGGCACAAATTGATGCAAATATTGTGTGAGTTGAAAACATTTTAGCTGCATGAGTCTGCTTCATCAACATTCTGTGAAGCAGAGGAATAGGAAAATAACAGATGCGGCTGGAGCTTCTGTAGAGTGAAGAGGCTGAGCTGAACACAAACACACACAAAGGAAGTTACCACAAACACGCTTGTGCATCCATTTATAGCTAACTTAAACCAGTGATGTTGCCATCTGTTTGAACAAACCTTGAGATGACACTTTGGTACAGCGATGCTTTAAGCTAAATGCCAATGTTGGCAAAAGGGATGCAAATTTTGAATTTTCTCAACCAATAGTCAGCAACAATAACAATCAATCAACCAATAGATCATCGGCAGGAATTTTGGACAGTGGATGCTCCCTATGCTTAAAGGTTGCGTGAGTAAACGTACTCATGACTAAATCAACTCAGCTACATATACCACTGGGATATACAAAGCTTTCCTAGTCGATCCCAGCATTTCTGTAACACAGGAGCTCAGGCTTAAGCCATTATGCGTCACAGAAGTCTTTGTCATAGTGGCCCTTTTACAGTAATGCCTACAGTCGGAGTGACCACTTCCTTGTGGTGCTACAGTAAGAATGTTAAACAGTAAAATGCTTCACCTGGTGTGCATCCAGATACTATAGCTAATCCACAATTAGCTTACTTACAATTTACATCTACAAACATTTTATCACAAGCACGTTCTTCATCATCTGCCTTATTTGGTTTATACATTTTTAAATTATCACCTGAAATTAATAAATTAACCATTAGCCATAAAAAAATCCTCAATCCAGAGTTGGCGAGCCAAACAGTTCACAGTGGCAATGCTAAAATGCTGCTGTTTAGCCCACTGACATTTGCATTAAACATTCATCAACAATAAACATAAATTACAGCTGGCTGTCACTTTTTCTCTTATGATACCGCTTTTGATGCCTTTAGGGCTTCTTTAAACTTCACTGAATAAAAATGAGGTTATGTTATTGTGGCAGCCCACTGTGATTCAACTCATGGCAGAAGCGCTTCTGTTAAGCACTTCTACCTCAACAAAGAAACCCTATATAATGCATATCACCTAAATGTGCTAGATACATGATCCACTTAATTTTGACCCCATGTATCAGACTACTAAACCAAGATAAATAGTTTACATTTTTGCCCTAGTTATGAAGCCAGATACAAGTTCAGTTCATTTCAGTGCCAAATTGCCAACCATTGAGCCACGCAGCTAGTGTGGGCAAAATGAAATCAACATTATATACTTGCACTGGGGGCTTCAAACTTCAATATCACATTTTAGGTTACATACGGAACTGAAACTGGTTCCCTATATGTCATGAATGCTACTGGAACATTGGGGGGTTAAACTGTGAAACTTAAGCTTCTCAGCAGATCAATGTGGAAACAGACTCTCCACATTCATGATTCTGCGCAGTAAAGGTCAAACAATGTTTCTCTAATGCCCATTATTAACAATAATGATCATCAGAAAATGCTGAATAGCAGATTTGATTAAACTGAATTTGACAGCCTTAACTATTAAGTGTAGTTAGCTGTGTATTTAGCCATATTCTTGTAAAATGTGTAAAACCTGAATTTCTCCCTTGCTCCACTAACTTGGCAACTGGTCTCATTAATTGAAGCTACAGTGCTATGCTGAATTTTCATAAGCTTTGTACCTACAGTCATCCTCACATTTATTCATACCCTTCCACTGAAGAAAAAGCAAAATTCACAATAGTCACTCCAACAACTAAAAAATGGAAAAAAGTAATAAAAAATAAAACATTGTTAAATTATCATTTAGTGAAATAAGACATTGCTTTTGAATTGTGAATGAAAAGAATAATTAAAAAAAATAAAAATAAAAAAATGTCCTGGACAAATTAAAGCACTTTGCTGATGAGCAGTGGGCCAAAATCAAAATATAGGTGCAGAAGTCTCATTGAGAGTTACAGAAAACACCTGACTGCAGTGATTGCCTCATAGGGTTGTTCAACAAAATATTAGTTTACGGGTCCCATCATTCTTGTTTTTTTTTTTTTCTTTCTTCATATTTCTGTTGAACCAAAGTTTAAAAGCAATGTCAGCGATTTTCATTAACACTAGAAGCCCCAAAGCCCAGCCATTTGGCTTTCCTACCTTCCATGCCCAAAGAGCAGCCAAGTGGCTGGATTAGTTTTGAGCTAGCATCTTAACTCAGGTGTGAACGACACCATTGTTCTGTAAATGAGATGGCCAGGCTGTGCACAGCCAGTAGAGGTATCACATACGGAGTACTTTTACTCAGTTCCACTACTTAAGTAAAGATACCTAAAAACTCTATGTATCTTTCTGGTGAATATTTACTGTTACTCACTACTTTGAAACACAAGTATATGTACTTTCTACTTTTCACATTTTAAAAAGGGGAAACTTACTTTTTAGATCACACACATGTTTTTGTTTTCATTTTTTCCCCTAATTTTTTTTACCCTGATCTGCACTAAAATGAAATGAAATGAAAAATACTTTATTTATCCCAGAAGGGAAATTCAATTTTAATAAAGTTAGGTGTAAATCAAAATTGCCTTTGCTTTCGCGTTTTTTGTCCCCACGAATCAGAGCTCAAACCTTCGTATGCTCAAACAGCTGATAACGTAACTATCCAATTATCTCATTCAGTGATGCAGCTGCATTGAAATGCTACTATTTCTGTTTTATAAAATTTATTTAAAAAGCCATAGCTGCCCCAAAGCCAATATTTAACTGAATTACATTTTTAGGTCAAATGACATCATTGACTGTTTTCACTTTTTTACTTTTTTACTCGCGTACATTCATGATGAAGTACTTTTGTACTTTTACTTTTACCAGAGTAGTTTTATTGCAGTATCAGAACTTTTACTAAGTTCTGAAATCAAGTACTTTTGCCATCTCTGACAGCCAGTTGAGTAGGCTACGGGTAATGATATTTACACTTTGTGACATTTTGTGATTAGGTAACAGCATAGTGATCTGACTGACATTTTCCATCTATCTATGTATCAATCCTTTTTTAATTTGTCTTCTTACTTTCATTGTTATCACTAGGATTTACTGTTTGTCATCTATAAAAGGTAAAAATGGGTAGATGAAGGTAAACTTTATTTAGGCAACTTGCACACTGGTGATGCAACACTCTTGCATTCAGACTTTCAGAGTGTCAAACTTTGTATTGGAGGAAAAAACAAACTCTGGATTTTTGTCATGTCATACTGTATGTCTTCTAAGCCAGGTTGTTAGGTTACCAGCTATGTGTATGTGCACACTTGTGATATGTGAATCAACAGTTATGAAAGCAGATATATTGATTTAAAAAAAAAAAAAAAGCAGCCATGCAATCAGCAGATTTGACTTGTGACAGAGTCCTATATGTGATGGCTGAAACAGAACAGTGGATCTTGAGTGCTCAGGCTCTTGTCAGTCATACTCCTCCCCCAAAGGAGTAAGCTTGACGAGCCCTAGTCTGGCAGGTAACGGCTGCGTCTACAAATGAAAGGGGGCCATCGAGATGTTAATTTCAAGCCATGCAGCCTTTTGGCTGTCCTCTGGGCATGGTAGCAGGGTAGTAAAACTCTGGGTTTTCTCGTGGTAATCAACCAATTTCACCCCATCGGAGGGCGAGAATTGGCTGGAACGCACACCAACGGTCACAGTTCTGTTTCCACCATTGGTATCGGTGGCGGCGGGGGAGTGGCGGGCAAGATACGCTCCACCAGTACTGTCCGTGTTTATTTCTGCAAACACTGAGCACACTCACTGCATGTGATGTCGTTGTGTCCTCTTCTGCACATGCGGGACACTTTTGGGTCGTATGAAGTTCACACAGCAAATCACATACAAGTCGCATTTAATTGGAAATGTGAACGAACTCGCAAAAATTGGATTTCACAAAAGAGTCCGAATTGAACATTAACTCCTGCAATCTGAAAGTAGCCAAGTAGCCAAATTGTTAAATCAGATAATATGCCGTTATCCTTATTTGTGACATAAAATGTCATGTTGGAGTCGGAATCCGAGTCTGTCGGTATGTAAAGGCTATTTTTAATGTGTTCCGTTTGTTTTTCCTAAAAACCTGTCGGATAGCAAGGTTTTCGGATTGTTAAGGGTCGGATTATCAAGTCACGACTGTACTATATCCCCTCTGTCTCTCTCAGTGGGGGTCTGATCACTGTCCAAGTCTCCTTAACGTTGCTTTGGAGCCTGGAACTTCAACTGTCCAAATCCTTCAAAGCTTTTTCCACTCTTACCAAAATAAAATTCAGAAGGAAACACTGAACACAGCTTAGAGCCCTTTGAGGCATGCTTCAAAATCTCTGGCATTCAAATTCTTAATGCTTAATTCAATACTGGCACAAAGCTATTCCTTGCTTTAACCCCAAAATATCATAATACGCTATCCTTCTAAAATATACTGTGATTTGCGAATATTTTTGTCATGACCCTGCAGCCTCGGCCCCTGCCCTTGTGTCTCTCTTTCTCTCTCTCTCTCTCTCTCTCTCTCTCTGTTTGTCTCTTGCTCTTTGTCTC